CACTGAAAAGTTAGAGGGAATTCTGACCCAAGATTTCAAACTGTCTTTGGAGTCTGTGGAACCAGATCCGTAAAATAAGCTTCAATATTGCTTGTTTGCTCTCTCTCTCTCTCTCTACACACTCATACACACACGTACACACACACACACACACACGTATATATATATACACACACACTACTGGTTTTGTTTTGCTGGGAAACCCCAATGGATGAAAAAATGTTGCTGATGAACATTTTCCCTATGTTTTTCTATTTGTGTATCTATGAAAAAAATGCCTATTCAAATCAGTTGACTATTTTTAAAATTTGAGATATAATTCAAAATCCACAAAAATTGAACTTTAAAGGGTGCAATTCGGTGGGCTTTTCTTCCAGCTTTGTTAGAATCTAATTGATAAATAAAAATTGTGTAATTTTAGCTTACAACATAATGAGTTTTATTCATATACATATATATGTGTGTGCATGTATTATATATTAGTAAAATCAAGCTTTTATATTTAACACCTCACATACTTATCTTCCTTTTGTGATTAGAACACTTTAGATCTATGATCTTAACAAACTTCAGTTTTATACAATCAATATATAATATTATTAACTATAGTCACCATACTGCATGCTGGATCCCCCAAATTTATTCATCTTAAAACTGAAAATCAACACCTCCTCATTCTCACCCTCCCCCTGTCCAGCCCCTGGAAGTCACTATTCTACTCTCTGCTTCTATACATTTGACTTTTTAAGATTTTACCTAAGAGTGAAATCATGCAGTATTTGTCTTCTGTGCCTGAATTATTTCATTTTGCATAATGTCCTCCAGCTTTGTCCATGTTGTTACAAAAGGCAGGCCTTTATTCTTTTTATGACTGAAGTATTCCATTGTTTATATACAGCACATTTTCCATATCCATTCATCTGTTGATGGACACTGAGGTTGATTCCATATCTTGGCTATTGTGAATTGTGCTTCAGTAGAAATGGGAGTGCAGCCATCTTTTCAAACTACTGATTTCATTTACTTTGGTTAAATAACCAATAGTGTGAACTCAGGATCATATAATAGCACTGCTTTTAATTTTTTGCAGATCCTTCTATAGTGGCTGCTTAAATTTATATCCCACTGATAGTATACAAGGCAGGCCTGATATTGATAGTATCCTTTCTCGGTGTACCCTCACCAACACTTATCTTTTGTCTTATTGATGAAAGACACTCTAACAGTTGTAACCATTGTCAAAACCAATGTCAAGATTTTCCTTATGCTTTCTTCTAGAAGCCTTATGGTTTCATGACTTAAATTTAAAAATTTAACCTATGATAGTTAAATTTTGAGTATAGTGTAAGACATGGGTCCAAATTCATTATTTTGTGTGTATATATTCAACTCCAACACCATTTATTGAAGCGGCTATCCTTTCTCCATTGTGTATTCTTGGCACTGTGTCAAAAGTCAGTTGACTCTATGTGTGTGAGTATATTCTTGCTCACTCTATTCTATTTCTTTGGTCTATACATTTTTAATGTCAGTGTCATACTGTTCTGATTACTGTGGCTTTGTAATATATTTTGAAATAAGAATGTGTGGTGCATTGCAATGATGTCCTTCTCAAAATCCCTTTACCTGTTTTATGTACTTTGCAGCTCCATAAGAATTTTAGGATTTTTTTTTCCATAAAAAATGCAATGGTTAACAACTTGAGATGCCCTTATCTCAAGTCAGACGGCCTATGTTTGAGTTCTGACTCCACTTCAAATTCCAGCTTCCTGCTAATTTGCACCCTGGGAAGCTGTCAGTGGCAGCTCAAGTACTTGGGTACCTGCCACCCATATAGGAGACCCAGATTGAGTTCCAGGCTTTTGGCTCTACCTGTCCCAACTCTGGTTGGTGTGGGCATTTGGGAAGTGTATCAGAAAATGAAAGATTTCTCTCTATGTCTCTGTCTCTCTGCCTTTCAAATAAATAAATAACTTTTTAAAATGCACTTGAAATTTTTATAGGTGTATTGCATTGATTTTGTAGATCATTTGGGGTACTATGAACATTTTAGTAATATTAATTCTGCCAACATATGAGTACAGGTGTATTTCCATTTATTTCTGTCTGCTTTAATTTATCTCACTAGGGTTTTATAGTTTACAATGCTCAAATAATTCATTTCTTTGATTAAGTTTATTCATAATTATTTTATTCAACTGTGTATGTAATTATTTTCTTAATTTCCTTTTCAGTTTATTGTTAATGTCTAGAAATGCAATTGATTTTTGTATGCCGATTTTATTTCCTTGTACTAATATTTCTGAAACTTTTTTTTGTTTTTGATTATATCCTGGTAGGGTATATGACTTAGAAATACACCCATTCTTCTAGTTTGCAGTTTGTTGGCATATACTTGCTCTGATGTATATGTGTGTGTGTAAACATATACCAGCTGAAGCGCTTGCTCACATATATGTATATACACACATTATCACATCCTATTTCCTGTTGTTTCTGGTTGATTCTGTTTCTCTGGGCCATCTTCTGCTGTATTTCCCAGACCCTTAGTAGGAAGTTCTATCAGAAGTGGAGCAGCCAGGACTCTAACTGATGTCCATATGGATGCCAGCATCACAGGCAGCAGCTTTACCCAATACGTCATAATGCCATCACTGGTGACTAAATTTTTTAAAATAGGTATTTTATCTATTTGAAAGGCAGAGTGACAGAAAGAGTGAGGCACAGAGAGAGAAAGAGATCCTCCATCTGCTGGTTCATTCCCCAAATGGCTGCAACAGTCAGGGCTATACCAGGAGCCTGGAACTCTATTTGGGTCTCTCTATGTGAGTGGCAGGGTTTCAAGCACTTGTGCTGCCTTCTTCTTTCCCAAGCACATTAACAGAGAACTGGATTGGAAGCTGCTGCTGGCATGGCGATATGGGATGCCAGCATCATAGGCGATGGCTTAATCTGCTGTGCCAGCACCTCAGTGCCTAACTAAACAGCACAGCTACTGCTTGACTTCTTCTTAAAACTTTACTTATTTACTAATATTTTTGAAAGGCAGAGAGAATGTGACACCCCATTCACTGGGTCACTCCCCAAATGCCTGTGATAGCAGCAGCTGTTCCAGGCTGAACTGAGGAGCTTGGAGCTCAATGTGCATCTCTCACATGGGTGGCAGGGATTCAACCACATGAGCCATCACCTGCTGCTGCCCAGGAAGCTGGATTGGAACCAGAACAAGACATGAACCCACGGACTCAATATGGGATGCAGGCATCCCAAGTTGTAACTTAACTGCTTTGCCAAACACCTTTATTGGGCTATCTATGGGGTAATACAGTAGCATTGCTATCAAAGGCAATCTTTGTAGGAAATATCATAATTGCATACACTTTCCTTCAGTAGCACAGTTATGACATTGCATTCATGGTATCCTCCTCCAAGGACTGTTATTTGACACAGTCAATAAGGGCATACAAATACCAAAGAACTTACCAAAAGGTGATGAGCCAATTGCTGTACACAGAGTATAAAGTCCTAGAACTTGATTAAAATTATTTGGTAAAACCAAATGCTGCTCTATTCCCAACACTGTCAAGAAATAGCCATTGAGGGGCCAGTGCTGTGACATAGCAGGTAAAGCTGCCACCTGCAGTGTCAGCATCCCATATGGACTCTGGTTCAAGTCTTAGCTGCTCCACTTCCAATCCGGCTCTCTGCTATGGCCTGGGAAAGCAGTAAAAGATGGCCCAAGCACTTGGGCCCCTGCACCCACAGGGGATACCTGGAAGAGGCTCTAGGCTCCTGGCTTCAGATTGAATTAGCTCTGGTGTTGCAACCAACTGGGGAGTGAACCAGAGGATGGAAGACCTCTCTCTCCTCCACTCACATATTATACACATATTATACAAGGTTCTCAATGGAAAATGGAATTAAAATGTGTTTATCCATAAACTTTTGGAAGTATGCTCACATATCTTCACTTACATACTATATATGACTTTGCCATCTGATGGAAATTTTTTAAATCATATCATGTTGAAATTTTTTGAGAATGTTATAAGGGTTTTACTTTTTAAACTATAGTATATCCTCATGATATTTATAGAACTCTGATTTTTTTCACCATTTTTATTGAATGTCATTTTAATCATATATTTACTTCCCAAATATACTTGATTTTATATTTGGTTCCTGATTCTATTTCACTTATAAAAGTTTTATGCTAAATCACATGACTTTAGCTATTATAGCTCTTTAGAATTCTTTAATATCTTATAATGAAGGTTGTCCCTAGGGCTGGTATAGTGCTGCAGCGGGTTAAGCTGTTACTTGCAATCAGAACACTGGTTTGAGTTTTGTTTTTTTCATAGTTTGGGTTAAGTATTACTTGGAATGGAATGACAGTTCTTGATAATCCCTGATATTCAATATCAAAATAATTTTAAGAACTATCTGTGCCTAATAACCAGTTGTTTTTATTTCAGCCCTTTAAGAAAACTATAAAATATTTGTACTGGACTGTGTGCAGTTTCTTTGCGGAAAACATACAGAGGGGGCCAGTGCTATAGTGCAGCGGGTAAAGCCACCGCCTACAATGCCGGCATCCCATATGGGCGCCAGTTCAAGTCCTGGCTGCTTCACTTCCAATCCAGCTCTCTGCTGTGGCCTGGGAAAAAAGTAAAAGATGGCCCAAGTGCTTGGGCCCCTGCACCCATGTGGGAGACCCAGAAGAGGCTCCTGGTTCCTGGCTTCGGATCTGCGCAGCTCTGGCCATTGTGGTCATCTGGGGAGTGAACCAGTGGATGGAAGACCTCCTCCCTCCCTCCCTCTCTCTCTCTCTCTCTGCCTCTCTGTAACTGCCTTTCAAATAAATAAATAAATCTCTTTTAAAAACATACAGAGTTAGTGGTTAATGATAAGGACAAAAAGCAAAACATTAGAAATTACTTAATTACTCTAGAATAAGACAATAGACATTTATTCCTTTTCAGTGAGATTTATTTGTTGGTTTACTTTTCATCCACTCCATCCACCTCACTATCTGATTTACCTGAACTATATCCCATAGCTTTACGCCGGGATAAGATGGTACTTGCTTCAATGCTGGGATTCTTTTTGGCTTTTGATGAACAGTAACCTTTTGTTTTGTGTAGCACAACACCTTTTCTGATTTCTTCCATTAAGGTCTTCCTTGATTTGCTAATTTTTGGTAGTGGTGGTGGAGAAGAGGGTCTCATAACAGGATAAACAGGAGCTATTGAAGACTGTGGAACTGATAGAGCCCTGGGGCTAGAAATGGAAAGTCGTGATTGCACAAATGACAATGATGATTGTGGAGTGGAAGATTTTGTTGATTTCACACTTGAGGATCCTGATTGTGATGGTGTCAAATATCTTGTTGATTTTGCAACTGGAGAGCTTGATGACAGTGAAGCTAAACATTTTGCCAATGGAGTAAATAAAGGTTTTGGTGAGTGGGTAAATGAATTTTCCCATAATGAATTCAAAGTTACTAGTGTTTGTGGACTCGAAGATACTGATACTGAAATTGAATGGTCTGACATAGTAGTTGAATATCTTGGTAATGGTGAAATTGAAGATCTTGATGTTGGTGGAACCAAATTATTTGGTGGTGGTAGAAGTGAAGATCTTGGTTTTGATGGAATTGAAGATCCTGGTGATTTTTCAACTAATGTTCTTGGTGATTGTGCAAAAGAAGACTTCACAGATTGAAAAATTGAAGACCCTGATGATTGTACGACCAGAGCAGGGTCAGCTGGATCTGTAATTGTAGCCCCTGACTGATTACTAGGTGAAATTATCGGATAAAAAGGTAGAGATGTAGGTATCCCCTGATCTTCATAATGTGGAAGTAGACCATCTGGTGTCTGTTCACCATATTGAAGAAATTTGGGAACTGAAGTGGAGAATTCTTTTGTTGATATAAATGGAAGACTTGAATCAGGAGTAATCTGCAGGCAATTAGGAAGTGATATTGCAGTTGTAGTTCTCAAAACAGGTGTTGGAAGCTGAATTTGGGAATGTGTAATTGGCGGAAGACTTGCCCTCTTTGAAGCTCTTAACATAGTTAACCAATTAGGTGGTAATGGAGGTGGTGAGGGTGGTGCTGTTGGGCTCACAAAAACCTCTGCTTTAAGATGATTTCGAGGTTGGGGTTGCAAATCTTCTCCAATACCAGTTCCATAACTGATGTAGGCAGGTGAAGTTTTCACATCCCCAGCTCCATGCATAGAGAGATTTGCAGGATTGGATAACACTTTTCCTACAGCTGTTGATAGAAGTGTTCTGATTTTACTAAATGGGAAAGTAGAAAGGGGACTTTGATCCATAGTTGAATGAGATGTCTCACCACAAACAGCTGGGTTTGGGCCCATTGAAGTATTATCTTCCATCAGTTGACTTTGACACACATTTTGTGGTTTATTGAGATGATCTAAGTGCTTTTTCTTTTGCTTGAATTTTCCTCTCTTTGGTTTACTTTCAGGTACCATTTTTTCTTTACACAGTTCAGAGAAAGATGGACGGGAGCTGAATGAAGCATCAGAAGAAATCTTTAAATCTTCCATAATGTCTTGGCTATAAGGAGCAGGCATAGTGAGATGTGCTGTCTGTACAGAAGCATGGTGTACTTCACACATTTTCACAGGTGGTGACTCGGACGAGGGTATCTGCTGTATTTGAGCCATTGTACCTTGAAAAGTATTTCTAGACTTTCTAACTAGCAAGGACAAATCTTCTTTTGGAGCCTTGTGAGTAATAACATCAGTTAACTGGATTACGTTTTCTTGCAGACTTTTAAGTTTGAAAGCAACCATGTCCATTTTTTTGGATAGTTCTCCCAATATGTTTTCAGCATATTTACTTAGATCACTTACTTGTCTATATATGCCACTCAAAGACATCTGGATTACATAAACAAACTCATCTCGAATTTCTCTAGGCATAGTTTGTTCATCCGGACATTCTTCATCTTTTTCTTCATTGACCGACATATTACAAAATGTCAGTACAAAAGTAGGGGGAGACACCTCAACCTCATCCCCTTTTCAAGCATCCGCAACTTTTTTCATATCCGTTGCAGGATTCGCTGGTTGGTGAGCCTCGCTAACAGTATCTGACTCCGGCAGAGCCTACGCGGATCTGAGCATGAGAACCTGTGTCTTCTGTGTTTATCCAGTAACCAGGCAACCAAGCTCATACGTCAGAGTCTTCTTTTTATAACTGACGTGAGAGAACAATGACTCCAAAACATCGCCGCCCTTTCAGGAACTAGTTTCTTAAAGACGAAGAGAGACCAGTTGGAGAGGAAGAGACAAGGCTGTGACATTAACTTTCATTTACTGTTTCTCAAAATGCTGCCCTGGATTTTAGAGCAAATTGTTCCATGTGACCTCCAGGTTATGTCTCTGACCTCAAATGGCATATATCTGATCTCTGATTCCAAAATTATCTTCCAATTGAGATGTTTCTTCTGAACTCCACTTCGATATCACACAGTCACCTCTAAACTTTTATTAACTTTCTTTTGCATGTATCTGTTATCTCTGAATATGGGATTTCCATCCATTCAGTTGCTAGTGTCTAAAAACCTTGCAATAGATTTTATCTAACATCTCTATTTTGTTTCTACATGCACTCTCAAAGTCAACCAATTCTACCCCAGAGTATAAACCAGAATGTACCCAATTTTATCTACCCTCAACCACAGCAGAAAATGTCACTACCATTTCTAATGAGAATGACTAGAACAGCTCCTAACTAGACCTACTGATGTGTTTTTATCCTCTTCCAAGCTATTCTCCCTCTTCTTTCCATCCATGATTTCATGCTTACATACACCCACCATCTATCTCTATCTATTCATACAAATGATTGTTTAAAATCTCCAATGTGTAAGAACTTCTGAGGAAGAAAGTAGGGTAAAGCTAAATCACAGAACCCCAATCTCCCCATCCTCAAAAAACAAATTAAATGAACAAATGCAAGTTTTAAAATGGGGAAAAAATATATCAGCACTAAAAAAAGAAGGAGCGTAATCTTCCAACATGCACTCTGGAAAGTCATGTCCAAGGACTGAAAGAGGATTTGGGCTACTGGTACATAGTTTCTGTCTATATTTCTGAGGGATAGGTTAAATGATGGAGCAGAAGGCTGGTAATGACTGGAAGGAACTAGATAACAGTTTCAAAAGTGTCATTGGTACTTTCTAATCCAGAGAGAGGTATGGGTGAATGTATGAGGTATGAGTGAAGACAGCAAGTGAATTTACTGGGGGAAACATACAAAGTGTCTATACATCCTCTACACTTTCACACTGATATTCAAATATAAGAAAAAAAAAACAAATACTGTTAGGGCACTAACTTGGAGGAAGACGAGAAAAATAAGTCAGGAGATCTTAACTTGCAAAGCTAATTATCCAAAATAAGAAGCAGGGATTCACCAGATTTTAAGATAAAAAGAGGAGTAATTGTAATTGTAGAGGAAATGTATAGTCAGGTAAAGGTAAAGAAGGCATTTGAGTAAATCTATCTCCACAAGCAGGCTAATAATGCCTTGAGCTAATCTCAATACTATAACATTATGGTTTCAGAATAAACTCTAAATCATCCATTTATACCATAAAGAAATAAAACAAAAATTGGGAGATAAGAGACACAGACTTGGAATTGGAAGGCATCTAATTTTAAATTTGCACATGCAAATGCCCTAGGGTGGGAGCTAGAATGCTTTGTATGAGACTGTGCAAGAGGCTCTGTGGCTGAGGGATTGGTAGATCTTGTATCTGAAGGGCATGATAATGAATCTGGATTTTAATCTAAGGATCACGAGAATCCATTGAGGGATTTAAGCAGGAGAGAAGAAAGATCCAACTTAGCTTTGAAAAGGTCTCTGAAGCTGCTGGGCAGAAAGTAGATTGTGGAGCCTTCAGAATAAAGGCAGGGAAATCAGAAAGCTATGGCAGTAATTCCACGAGAGATGTTATTGACTGTATTAGGATAGTGTCAGTAGTAGAGTTGGTTAAGTGGTTTCAGTAAGAAATTTTGGAGAGAGCTAGTTTAGGGCAAGGAATACAGAAATACAGGGTAAGAAATAAACATAGTCTAGGGGAAGTTTGAGGCTAGAGATAAAAAATTAGAAAACCATAATATTAAATTACTATAGTTGACTTTTTCAAACAACACAATGGGGATTTGGATTTTCCCACAGAGAAATCTTCCAGTCAGGTCAAATAACAACAATGCCCTGTGAATGGAGCATTTCTAGGGGGCTGAAATGTCAAACAAATAGTGGTAATCAAGGAATTGGACATTAGGAGAGCAGTCTGTAACCACTTTGAGGCCAGGGCAGTGCTTAGAAGAGGTGTGTTGGAACAGACCAAGAAATGCCATCTTCAAACCTATGGTTCTTAATGAGGTTCTGGAGTCTTTTTTTGAACACCTTTTCCTTAAATTGATGCAAGCCCTTGCATAATTTCCCAAAGTCTGAAAAAATTTATTTTAGTCACATTAGCCAGGATTCTCATAATTTTGCAGGGGAGAAGTTAAGGAGGTCTGCACTCTACCAAAACCCCACTTCTTTCTATCTTGGGATCCTCATTATTTTTCTCCAAGTATTCATTCAACCTGCATTAGAATACTTTTAATGACACAATTTACTGACTCCAGAAACAAATTATTCCTACTTTGAACATACATTACCATTAGAAAATGCTGCCATGCTTTTGAGTTGTCTTTCTGGAGCTTCCACTCCTTCATCTAATTCTTTCTTCTTTGTAAGTCCCCATGAACCACATCTTTTCTGATTTTAGTGAGCCGAAGTCTCACTTGCCTTTGTTACCTATTTCTATTGTCATTGCAGAAATTGTTCATCAATAAAAGCATTCCCCACTGAGTCCCAACAGGTTTCATGATCCAGTAAGACAGCTAAAGCTAATCAATTGAGGTGGCCAATTGAAATGAAACCTAGCCGGCGCCGCGGCTCACTTGGCAAATCCTCCGCCTGCGGCGCCGACACTCCGGGTTCTAGTCCTGGTTGGGATGCCAGATTCTGTCCCGGTTGCTCCTCTTCCAGTCCAGCTCTCTGCTGTGGCCAGGGAAGGCAGTGGAGGATGGCCCAAGTCCTTGGGCTCTGCACCCACATGGGAGACCAGGAGGAAACACCTGGCTCCTGGCTTCGGATCGGCACAGCGTGCAAGCCATAGCGGCCATTTTGGGGGTGAACCAACAGAAGGAAGACCTTTCTCTCTCTCTCTCTCATTGTATAACTCTGCCTGAAAAAAGAAAGGAAAAAAGAAAGGAAAAAAGGAAGGAAGGAAGGAAGGAAGGAAGGAAGGAAGGAAGGAAGGAAGGAAACCTAATTGCTATTCTGGGGTTAATTTATTTCTACGTGGGTTTCTTTTGTATACTTAAAAGATTTACTTATTTATTTTATTTCTTTCACCAATTTTTATTTATTTTGCTAATAGTAAGTACTTACTGTGATCCAGGAGTTGTATTACATATGTAATTCTATTTAATCCTCACAGAAACCTTGTAAGTTATACAGTATTATATGCTTTTTTAAAAAGATTTATTTATTTATTAGAAAGTCAGAGTTACACACAGAGAGAAGGAGAGATAGAGAGAGAGAGAGGTCTTCCATCCTCTGGTTCACTCACAATTGGCTGCAACAGTCAGAGCTGCACTCATCCAAAGCCAGGAGCCAGGAGCTTCTTCTGGGTCTCCCACTTGGGTGCAGGGGCCCAAGGACTTGGGCCATCTTCTACTGCTTTCCCAGGCCACAGCAGAGGGCTGGATTGAAAGTGGAGCAGCCGGGACTCGAACCAGCACCCATATGGGATGCCGGCACTGCAGGCAGCAGCTTTACCTGCTCTGCCACAGCGCCCGCCTCATATGATTATTTTAGGGAAAGGAAATAGAGGTTCAGGGATGTTAAGTAATGCAACCATGTATCACAACTAACAAGCAGTAGGTCTTAGGTTCTAACTGATGTCTGCCTCAATTTACACCAGTAGCTACACCTCAAGTATTTAGAAATGTATTCAGCTCCTTCCAGACTTATTTCATATATGTAGTGCATAGTAGTATAATGACATTTCTCCACATGTAATTTATGTTTTTAGCATTAAGAAGTCCTGTAGAAACGGACTCTTACAGGAAGGAATTTCCAGGATGAATTAGTAACAGAGCGAAGAATGATATGGTTTCTGATTACTCAGAACCTAAACTATCCTTATGGCCTAATGATTCCTTTATAGACTATGTTGGTGCATCCTCCTCATCTTACAGTGGAAGAAGTCGGGTCCCATGGAGGAAAAGAGATTAATTCAATATCACACAGTCTCGAAGCTTCAATTACATCATGAGGATCCAGACGGTTCAATGTACTTTCCCTATGCCACACTTTCTACGACTGTCAGAATTAAAAATATTTTAGCTTGTCTTGTTGGTGGTGCTGCTTTCCAAAAATATTCCTACAATATCGTAAAAGAATCAGATAGCTTGACAAATTCAAAGATTGTAAGAGTATGCACATGAAATGAGAAGAATAATAGTTTGAAAGATAATTGATATGAAGAATACAATAACCACATCGAATCTTCATAAATTTATGAAGATTATTTTACAACAGGAACCTTAAATCCACATGGCTGTAAAAGTAAATAGGGCTTCAGCTAGGCAAACCAAGTAAAAATAATTTAGAATACAAATGTGTATAAGCTGACAAACAAGATTCGGTTAGGAAGCTAGGCTTCCTGTGAGAACAAGAGATGGTACTACAGGAGAAGCAAACCAAAGAGAATTCTCTCATGCAGCTTACATAGTTTGACATTCATACATCATTTTCTTCATATCATGCATTCTCCATGTACTTTTTGAAGAATGCATGTATGCATGGATTTAAAAAAATACTTGCACTAGACCACATTCATCTTCTAAAACAATCTCTCCACAAACTTCTTGAAGTACCTTCCTACACAATGGATATTCAGTCTGAGCCCTCAGGCAGACACGCTTTCCTAATACTCCCTCGCTGCTTACAGACAGCTTTGACTCTACCTCCTTTCAATCGTCTGATATTTTATAGAATCTGACTCTCTTACAACACTGCCACCAGCCCCATATACATATCTCCT